AAAGCAGGAGAACTATGAATGCAGAAAAGTTAAGAGAATTGCATAATACATCATTTCACATGAGTGATGAACTAATTTGTGAAAATGAGAAAGAATTGCACACACAAACGTTGAAAAATAGAAGAATTGCATAATATTTAAATTATTTCACATCATGCTTGTAAAACTTGTTTTTTGGAAATGAGAGAATTTTGCAAAAAAATGTTTAACTTGTTAGAAATAAAGAAATGTTTCAAACTGCGTAATACCAACTTGGAAGACAAATTTGCGAAAATTTTTCGAAATTCTGTATTGTTTTTGTATAAATGATGCTTAATTTCGGAACTCGTTAGAAATACAGACGTTTCAAGCTATATAATAATCAAAAAATTTGCATAAGAGATGTAACATTTTTGTATGAAAAGTGCAGAATTTTGGCTAAATTCCAGGAAACTATTTAGTATTCAAAAACCCTCGTACATATTTTGCGCTATGCAAAAAATATGGACATTATGGATGAAGCAGTAATATCGTAAAGATGATCCATGCCATGATAATTAAGTCAGTTGACCCCAATTTTGTGTTCTATGATCCGAGACTACCCAGAAATGGGCAATTAGTTGAAATTAGGGATCATTAATGGTTGATAATTTTGCAGTTCCGCCGAAGTGGATTTTGGAGCCGAGAGACGTCAACGTATCGGCGGGACACTCGCTTTCACTTCAGTGCCGAGCCGAGGGTCATCCCACCCCCTCAATCACCTGGAAAAGGGCCACTGGTAAGTTATGCATTCATAGTGCCAAAACCCAAATTTAAAAAAAAAATAATTTGAGTTGCCCATTTTATTACAAACTTGTGTATAAATTTGATTGTAAATTTGATTTCTTGTTTTCACCAATTTTACTTTATTACTGTTCTTTAGTATGTAATTTTATCGTTTTGTGTAAACCATTGGCAATAGTTTGTTATCAATTTGGTCGCTCATTCTCTCACAAAAAAAACTTTCATCAAACGGTAATACAACTTTACAACAAATAATAATTACTAAACCTTACCAAACTTCTAGATCATTTTCTCCATTTTTCTCTTTAATAGCTCTTTCTCGTTTTCTTATCTCTCCCTCACCAGGCATGCAGCCGGGCGACTACAAGGACATCCTTTCCCCCACCGGAAGCTCGTCCCCCTTCGCCAACGGGACCATCAGGTTCGACCAAGTCCGAAAATCGGACGAGGGGAATTATCTGTGCGAGGCGAGAAACGACGTGGGCTCCGGCCTCTCCAAAGTCATCTTCCTCAAAGTGAACGGTTAGTGGATCTTGTCGACTTTACTTTTGAGTGTCATGTTTACCCTAATTTGCATAATGCGACAATGACAATACATAACCTGCTGGTGGGTTGCTCCCTGTGAAGACGGTCGGTTTGGCGAAAACGTTTTTGGAGAAAAACTTTCACCATGAAATAATTACATTTGGCGAAAACAAAATTCAATCATTTTGCAATACATTTGACCAAATGTTTTTAAATCACCTTTCATCGAAAATAATTTAAAAATTATTATAAGTTATTAGCTAAAATTAGCTAATAAAATAATAAGAATTTATTTAAATTTTAAGTGATTTGACACGAAATTAGCGCAAAATTTATGTTTCGCTAAATATAATTTTAGAAATTTTACGTTTTTGCCAAGTGAGACGTTAATTTCGTCAAGTGTTACATTCATGATATTTTTTACCACATTGGCGAAAATGAATTTTTGCCAATTTGTCTTTCACCAAAATGACCATGAACCACTCTGTGTCCCTGCTTTCACTTTCCTCCTCTCCCGGGTCGGAGAAAGTCCACCACCCGGAAACAAGTCTGTCTCTAATTAATTAATTACCCGGATTAATTAGATGACGGCATGAAGAGAGAGGGAGAAAGTTGGGGAAAGTCGAGTAGGTGAAAGTTAAGACCAAAAGTATTTAGAGAAAGTCTAATCCCACGAGGGGCTTGAGTGCGTGTGTGGTCCTTCTAATCTGGGAACAATGAAGGCAGAAAGTTTACTTTGGTTTGCAGATAAACGTCGTTAAAAACAATGACTTATCTTGGAATTTATTTATGTTGCTCTATACAGAAAGCCCTCTTTTTAAAATTTCCGCATTTTTAAAAATTTCCTACTGCTGCTTTAGCTAAAAACAAGATATTCAAAAGAAAGTCTCTTTTTTAACTCTCGCCTTTGTTTTTTTTAAAAAATATTTACTACTTTTATTTATAATTTTCCACTTCTTTTTTTAAATTTCAAAATTCTTTTCTAACGTTTAAATCAAAAGAAACCTGCCTTTTTTAAATTTTCCACGTCTTGTTTGGCCGCTTTTTAAAGAGAAACCGAAAAAAAGAATCATTTTCACTTATTTTCTACTTTTCCTTAGAAATCTGACTTTCATTCCCATTTACTGCTTTAAACTACTGACGATATTTTCTTTCCGGAGAAAGTTTGTTTTGTTAAAGACTTTCTTTTCTTCAGAGCAAAGTTTTGCACTTGAGGAGAGCTCAATGTAATGAAATTGTAGTTGATATGTGTACACGGTTAAGTCCACCTATTTATGCGAGTTACGTAACAACGAGTAGAGTAGAATTGTAGGATGGGCATGAAATGTTTAGTAAATGTAGTTTTTCAACCATGGCAGAAGTACCTTTTAAACATTTGTTACCTACACTAAAAATAAGTTGGTAATAAAATCGTGTAGACATGGAAAAAATTTGTCACCAAATGATAACAAAAACATCAGAGAAACTCAAATTTGGGTAAGAAATTTATCAAAACGGGGTGACAAGTTTGAACCTCCTAGAAATTATTGTTACCATGCTGTAGTAAACCGTTAGCAATGCTACATCGCGAAAAACGATCCTAGATTGTTTTACCAACCAACTTCGTTCCTTTCAAAAATATTCACGGAAATCCATTCGTTTACACATTTTGAATTTTTCACTTAAATTGGATAACTTACGTGCCAAAAGCCGATTGTTGTTATATGTGCAATTCGTCGATGCAATTTAGATCATAAACAAGGTCCCTAAAAAGGGGAAGTCTTAGTGAGGGAGTGCAATCACAACTAATAAATAAAATTAGATTGGAGAATTTTTGCATCACCGCTCTCGGTACCATTTTTACTGGATACAGTATAAATTTTTCTTTGCATATGCATGAATTGTTAGTATTATTGAATAAATTGAGGAAGAAATACATTTTTACTGTGTAGTGAACGAGAAGTGGGTTAAATTAACTGAGGTAGATATGTAAGATATAATGACTAAATAATTATGAGCTACGTATTTCTTTAAAAAAATATACAAATTTCAATTTCATATATTAATTTGGCTACTCTATGCAAAATCATCGAACCTTTTGAGGGAGCAAGTGTTCTATTTAAACGATTAATTCTTCCAGTAAAAATGGTACCGAGAGCGGTGATGCAAAAATTCTCCAATCTAATTTTATTTATTAGTTGTGATTGCACTCCCTCACTAAGATTTCCCCTTTTTAGGGACCTTGTTTATTTATAACTTTTAATTGGGTAATTAGATTGCCCATTGGATAACTGCATTGCACTACCCCTTTTCAGTAGTTTGATGCGGAATAATTTTATTAAATGCTGGGTGTTTAAAATTGAATAAATCCGTTATTTCTTAACCGATTTATATCATTTTGGTCAAAATGTCCGGCCTAGATTACTAAACACCTGATCTGGAGGTGCAAACCCAACAACAACAATTTCACGCAGTTTACCAAGCATGTTACAGAAACGACTAGTTGTGCTGTTTACAGTTTTGAATGTAATTTGTTTTCAATTTATTAGTCTTGCGTCGTTGTCAATGGCAATGATTCGTAGCACGAGCAGGAATTTCTGAACTTCAAATTGGAATAACTAAGCCAATTCTTAACAGATTTTGATATATTTATGCTTTAAATTTTCGGGATAAACTGCCCTACAATTCGTGGGTATCAAACTGTTGATAACGTTTGCTAGTAACCAGCAATAATTACAAATGTGTTTCTAAGGCTACATTTTTGCCCATAATTCCGGTCAAGATCACGTAATCGCTTAGTCGGATCAGATCCCATTTCTATATTATGCAACAATAATCGGTGCAAAATTTCATCAAAATCGGTTGAGAAATGACTGAGATATCGCAGATGGTCACTTTTTTGGGGTGGGTCAAATGCATACTTAGTAATTTTTTTCGTTGTTAGGTATTTGCCTCACTAAGAAAAAGCATCTAGATCTAAAATTTGTTTTTGACAAATGATGTTGAAGTGTATTTAAGAATTCAAAGTATTAAAATTTGTTTCAAATTTACCAAAAAATAGGGCAAAAAATACTTTCCTTATAGTTTTTTTTTTACATTTCGCCTTAATTCAAGTATTAAACAAAGTGGGCATGCCATTGGGTATCAGCACCAGCACAAGTACAAATACAACTCTAAACCCGACTCGACTTTCAAGTGGTCAAAGTATCCGAGTGATCAAATTTACACAAGAGATGCATTTCTTATTCTTCTCTCCTTCTTGCTGTCTTGATTAAAGAAACATCATACCCATCATACCCAATTTGTAAAATTTACAAAATTTAGAAAAATTTTTAAAATACAGAATTCAAAAATTTACAGAAATTGCAATATTTACTGAATTTAAAAATGTCCAAAAGAATTCTTGTGAGTTGCACTATATGTATCTACCATACATATATGTATCTACCATACATATATGTATCTACCATACATATATGTATCTACCATACATATATGTATCTACCATACATATATGTATCTACCATACATATATGTATCTACCATACATATATGTATCTACCATACATATATGTATCTACCATACATATAATGTTACATATTATTGCTCCAAAATTTGTAAACGTCGTTAATATATGCCTAAAAATGAGTTATGACACGAACTTTGTCAAAACCTAAAAATTTCGACTTGCTGCAATTACAAAATTTTTTGAATGAATTAAAGCACTTCAAACTAATGGAAAGATTTGTTTATTGAAGTAATTTTGCAGTAGCGACCGGTTTCATAATCTTTCATCAGGCTGCATACATACATATGTGAAAAATGGCAAAAAATTGTAATTAAATTATTGTAGACTTATTGTAAAATTATTGTAAAATGTATATATAATGACTTGATACCTTTACAAAGTGGTAAATTTAATAAATGAAGATCTCTACTATATAAAATAGTTCAAGTTCATCCCTAAAAATATATGAATTAAATGCAAAAATGTATAATAGTAATAATAATAATACGTCGCTACCAAATACAATAAAATTTACCTGAAACAGGGAGTTTTTCTTAAAAATATTTATAAAAATATATTTAGTAGTATTTATTTAGAATTGGAAAGACTAAAAATCCATGTGATTATGTCAAAGTAAAAAGACGGAGTAGTTTGTTGGGCAGAAGTTGGCGTCCTTGGTGATGATATGTACATATACATATTACATACTAAATATTATTACATAGTTGCCTCGTAAGTGAGTTTATCTTTCTGTAACTTACTTTAACATTGAGCGTATGCAACATGTGTGTATATATACGATCACTTTCTTTCATAATAAACTCAATGGTGAGACTATTTAGAGTTGGTAAAGATTTGTAATATGGCATTACAACATACGATCTATGTAAAATGGAATCATGAGTTTCAGTTTTGACCTTCATATTACAAAGAATTTCTGGGTGGTGTAATTTTAAATTATCTATAATTAAATTTTTACACTTAGTTAATAAATCTAGTCTTGATATTTGAGCTAATCTTTGTCGCGTATTATCTATACAATCATTAGGATAACAACGATTATGAAATGTATTCAGCATGATTTCAATCTCCGTTTCTCTGTCCTCAATTTCGGAACAAATTTTTATAATTCGTAATCCTTGACTATACGGTAATGAATTCAGAAGTTGTTTAGGTAAATTAGAAAGATAGTGAGCATATAATGGGCGTGACATTGGTTTCTTATATAAAGTTGTAGAAAGCTTATTGTTTGATAAACTTACATTAACATCTAAAAAGCAAATATCGGTTGTACTATGGTTTAGTGTAAATTTAAGATTACTATGTGAAAAAATATTCATGCACCATACGTTGAAATAAATAATATCAGTGGAATCAATAATCATGAAACCATCATCTACAAATCTAGCATGGAAAAATATATATTCACAATTATCAAATAGTGGCGACAATTCACACTCCGCAGTAATATTTGCCACGCTCACCGATGCTGCATTTCCCATCGCGATCCCTTTAGTTTGTTTAAAATACAGATTTTTAAATTTATTAAAATTGTAATCCAAGCATAAACTCATAAGTTTTTGAAATTGATACGAGGAAAATTTATACGGTACCGATGATGTACCTTTAAATTTCAGATACTTATTTAGACAATGTTTTTTACATAGGTTTACATCAAGATTTGTATACATACTTTCAATGTCATAGGTAAGTAATACTAAGTTTCTATTTTTAGGCAGTGTAAGGTTATTTAATAATAGTAAAAAATGTCGAGTGTCAAGAATTAATGATGGAATTAAATTCATTATTGGTTGTAAAATTAAGTCGACTAATCCACTAATATTTCTGTTAAATGCATTACATGTACTTGTAATGGGCCTACCAGGTGGTATTCTGACAAAGGTTTTATGTACTTTAGGCAATATATAGAACTTACAAGGTTGGTCGTTTTGAATTATTAAATGTTGAAGTTGGGTACCGTTATCAAATTGAATTTTTAGACACTTTACAAGGTCCTCAAAATCATCTCTGCTTTTCGTGTAATGGGCTGCGGTTGACGGGGTGTATGTAGATTCATCATTTAGGTGCCTTAATATTTCATTTTCATAATCTTGTTTCAAAAGTATACATATACCGGCATTTTTATCTGCATTTTTGATGACGATATCATGCTCTTGAATCCATTGTTTACAATTTGTTATGGTGTCATTTGGGATTAAATACGAAAATTTCCTTTTTAACTTTACATGTTGAACAAAATCTGATGTAATGTCCGGGTTCACAAATATTTTAGATTGTAAATCACAACTTGGTTTATTGTTATTCACTCGTTTCTTTGATGTTATACAAAATTGGTCAAAACTGGTTATTGTTTCTCTTTCTTTTCCATTCTGTTTAAAATATATATGCCAACTTAATTTCCTTAAAGCCTCATCAAAATGTTCACCAATTAATTTAAAATTAGGTTTTGTTGGATTGGAGAAATTTAATCCGAAAGACAGCACGAATTGAACAAAAGTAGGGAGAATAAATGTAGTAAAATTAAAGAGTGGGGGTTCACTTTCCTTAAATTTCTTAAAAGCTTTATATAATTTATTGTAGTGAGTTCCGCTCAACTTTGCCTTAAATTTTAAAATGGTATTCAAATTATAAAAACTCCTTTTCCGTTTCGGGTTATTCTTGTACAAAGTAGCTTCCGTATCTCATGTGAACGCTGTGTAGATTTTTGATGGTGACTTTGTGGTAGTATTATTCAGTGGTGGTTCTAAATTAGCTCGCGAAGTTATAGATGAATGTGACAACTTGCTCCTTTGTTGTGGTGGGTTGTTATTTTTTACAAAATATGAGTTAGAATTGTGTTGTCCATGATTTTTAGCATGAGAACGCTTGTGTTCATCAAAGTGTCGTCGACCTTGATGCTGGACAAAATTATGATTTTGCCGATCTTGGTGCAGCCTATTTTGTTGGCCGTGACTCATTGGGAGCTGTGCTGACTTATTTGCATTGTTAGCATAATATCTCGACTTGTTTTGATATCTTTGATTTCTCCAGGGTCTACGTTTTTGATAAGAGTGCAACTCCTCCGGAATATTGGATCTCACTGAGCCTTCAAAATGTATTATTCTGTTTGAGATTGATTCATTTGTGAATTGAAATTCATTGTTTCCGATGCTTCGCATTAGTGAACGAGCGATTCTATTCGGTATTTCTGGTGGTAGTTCATTTGGATTTTCTTTCCTCCATTTAGGTTCTGTGTGAATAGTTTTCGATTGAATGTGCATTGAATATCGGCAAACAAAAGTTTGCCGATAGGATTAGTTGCTAAACATTGTTGATTTTTTTTCAATAAATCTGCATATAATTTTTATTAATACAAATTTAAAGAAAAATATGAATTTGAATAAAATGTATTTTATTTCTATTTTATTTAAACTATGCAAAATAATTCGCTAATCACATACATAAATTAAGAATGCATATACGTTGAAAAAATCTCATAACTAAAAGACAGAGACGACGGTTGCGTCTCCTTGTGTGCCGAGAGATTTTTTGCTAATGAGGGGGGGCGGGGCGAAGAGAGCAGCTGATTGCAGCTGATTTTCATGTAAACAATGCAGGCAGTTGCATGTAAAAAGTTGCTTTGGGTTTTGAAAGTGACCGTTCCCACTCTCCAAACGGGGCATCGCGAACCAGAAAAGGAGAAAAATTTCGACTAAAACTTCTAATTTGCAGCTAGTACAAAATGGATTGATTTCGTTTTGGTGGCAATAAATTCCCAAGTTTGTGCTTTACAATTGCCATGTTGCATAAATTCCATAATAAATCTCAGAGAAAAGTATTGAACTGAAACATGGACTCATATCATGTTTCAGTCCAATACTTTTCACCGAGATTTATTATGGAATTTATGCAACATGGCAATTGTAAAGCACAAACTTGGGAATTTATTGCCACTAAAACGAAATCAATCCATTTTGTATTAGCTGCAAATTAGAAGTCGTAGTGACAAAAATCATTTACATTACTGGTAAGTGGCGAGGAGAAAAAGTCAACTCGCTCACTAGGATGTTCAGACTGTTCCCTAACTCAAACTTTAAGTAAATACTTCAGTAGATACGTTTTCATTGTTCCAGCACCTGCCAAATTCAACGCGGAGGAACAAGGAGCAAACGCCCTGATTTCCGTGCGAGTCGGGGAGAAAGCGATTCTTGGCTGCCGAGTTGGTGGCGATCTTCCAATTCTAATCGAATGGGGCAACAAACACGGCAAAATTGGGCCACATTCGAATCACAGGTGAAAATCTATTCCCAATTTTAGTTAAAAAAAATGCTTTTACGATAATAAATGTAATATTCAATTGTGTTTATTTTAAAATGGTAAACTGTTAATTCATGCGGTACTTGGTAACCTTTCTAAAATCCGTAACTTTGCTATAATAAGTGTCCAAACCTTTACAAAATAAAACGACGACCTTGTTCTGAGTAAATATTTAAAAATTACCTTAATAAAATTTTGCAAAAGTTTATGTATATTAGTCATTAGCATGGGTTTTAGTGCGAAAAGTGAGACAATTTATTTACACAAATTTGCATGGTTTTACAAATTATGAGACAACCTTGTAAAAATTGCGCATCACACGATTCAACCAATTATTACTTATTTTTAAATTATTCAAAATTATCCCTGATTTGGGGAAAAGTTTGAAATTATTTTAAACAAATTCTGCCACTTTCTAGATACACGTTTCGCCAGCAAGAGTTGGAGGATGGGATCTTATCCGAATTGCTGATAGCCTCCGTTGACCGGAGCGATTCTGGAGCTTATTCATGCCGAGCTTCCAATCCTTTCGGGTCAGATCATACCATCGTCACGCTCAACGTGCAAGGTTAGCAAAAAGTGAAATATTTTCAAAAATTGGGGAAAAATCATGTTTAAATCGCGTCGATATTTTTCAGAAACTTATTTTTTAAGAACTTGAGCAGCGTTTAGATAAAAGTTATTAATATATTCATGAAAGAAATTTTCGACTAATTTTGGACTGAATTTTTGAAACTATATTTTTTTAATAATTTTGGTTCTGAGCTTATTAAACTGTTAAACATTATTTTCCAATATGAAACTCTCCATGCTTTTATTACTCTTGAAAGTGCTAAAATTTCATAATTCAATTAATTTTGAGTGTGAATCCTATTTTTTATAGCAGCATCGAGCTTTCAAATTGATATTTTAATATGCATACAACACTATAATCAAATTCATACCAAAAATATTCTTAAAAATAATTCAATTTAGTATAATTTATAAACGAATATAAAAAATTGTATGTTTAAACTTCAATTCCTCCGACTTGTTATTCCAAGTGTAACTTATGCCAAAAATATGGGAAAATTCCTCGCCAAAAAAATAATTTGTGAGTTTATCAATAGTTTTAAGACAAGTAACTAGATTAAATCTTTAATGTTGATGAACGTTTAAAAAGTGCAAAACCAAAATTATTTTAAAAAACATGTATTTTTACAAAATTTAGTAAAAAATATAATCTTTCTTTGCCAAAAATTTGCTCCCGTTCTTTTCCAAAACCATAAGTTTCTGAGTACGTCTGAAAAGTATTTCCAGAAATAAAAAGTGTTGCTAAATTGTGCTTGCTTATTTCCAGAGCCTCCGGAGCAGCCTGGTAATTTGCGGGTGGTTGAGGTGGGGAGCCGGTCGGTGGGGATTTCCTGGCTGGAAAATTTCAACGGGAACAGTCCCCTCATCAACTTCATCATTCAGAGCAAGTTCCCCTCAGGTAAAAATTCAACAAGGTTTGATTTTTACAAATTAATTTCCCCGTGTTTATTCAGACCTAATAATTTCGTGGGATTTCGAGTACAGAATAAAAATGCAATCAATTTTGGCGTGCGTGTGTGCGAAATATAAATTAATTTTTCGTCCATTGTGAATATCAAATTCATGGTGCATCAATATCATTCCATGGTGCATCAAATTCTTCTAAATTTTGATGTGACAGTGAGTGAACAATTTCTTTAGGTTTTCATTTACATCGTAATAGATCAAAGACAAATCGTCGTACTAATTCATAAAAGACCTAAGTGCAGTCGATGCTTTATTCAGAAAAGACCTAAGTGAAGTCAGTGTTTAATTCAGAAACGACCGAAGTGCAGTCGACGCTTAATTCAGAAAAGACCTAAGTGCACAGAAAAAAGTAAAAAAAGACCTATGTGCAAGTATGTATTTACTTATGGCTAAATCGTGCGATATATATCAAAACTCGTTCTGGCAAGATTTAGCCATAAGTAAATACATACTTGCACATAGGTCTTTTTTTACTTTTTTTCTGTGCACTTAGGTCTTTTCTGAATTAAGCGTCGACTGCACTTCGGTCGTTTCTGAATTAAACACTGACTGCACTTAGGTCTTTTCTGAATAAAGCATCTGCTGCACTTAGGTCTTTTACGAATTAGTACGACGAAATGGAAAACTTTTCAATTGAGTGGGCCCATATCTTCGAAATTGTACTATTACACGTTTGCATCAATTTTTTAGGTTTGACATAGAAACTGAACAATTAATTTTGATACAATTGTACAGTACAGATTCCACGTTGAACTTGAAAAATTGGTATACCTAAATGAATACTTCGAAGAGCAATAGAAGATAAAAAAATTCGATTGCCATGTAAATACAGGAATAAAACGCATGCATGCATTTCGATTTCTGTCAGAAACTTGTTATTTATCATTTCCCAATTTTTCCCACTTTCATTTCATCGCTTGTTTATTACTAAAAAAGTCACTTTATAATTCCGTTACACTTAAAAATGTTATCAATTTTTCCAACTTTCTCTTTTTTCTTTGACTAATTTCCCAGAAATAAATGGGTGATTTTTTCGTTGCCTTAATTTCATATGGGTCCACTTCTTTTTCGACTTGCCCATAGTTTCTGAGTTCCTTTTTGCAAATTAATTATCTTTCCTCGCATCCATTCCTTTGGCCACTTTGACTTTTCTTTCATTTCACTTCACATTTTAATTTTAATTTACTACACGAATCTGGAACATGCTCTGGTCCTGGATGACTTGGTATTTAGCAGGGTTTCGCTGTTGTTTTTGACCACTGTCCAAAACAGCCATCCAAAATGAGGTTTAACCAGTTTTGGACACCGAATTTTGGACGTCAAAAGTGTCCAGAAGCGTCCAGACCCAATTAGAAAATGAGGCAAAATGTTATAAGACTTTCATTACTAACCTTTCGATACTCAATTGACATACAATTGCATAATCTCCCACTAATTTTGAACATTTTACTTTGTAATACGCCATTGTCTTCAAAATTTCTGAATTTCTCATACGAAAACATTTCAAAACAAAAGGTTTTCCAAATCTCTTGGTATTACAGACCAACCAACATGCTGAACATTAATTGGTGCATATGAACATATTTGTGCATAGACTTGGAAAAAGATCGTTAATAAAGAACTTGCAATATTTTGCCCTTATTTCCTATAGTGACTTTTGGAAATTTTGAACAAAAATTATTTTGGATAGTTTTGGGCGCTTTTTAACGTCTAAAACGAAACACTGGAATTTATGATTGAGAAGAGGAGTGAAAGTCAAAGGGAACGAGAGTGAAAAGAGAGGTCCATACATTTCGTGTGCAAGATTTCTTAATTATTTTCCCGAAAGAAGTCCATTAAATTAGATTCCGAACACGGCTCAGTGCACTCGACTCGCAAAGAAATCCTTCCCCAGATGAAGCTCGTTCATGCCCAGCTTTCTCCTTCCGCCCGGTTTTCACAGTCCCAGGAGCCAACGGGCCAAGTAATTGTCATCTCAATATAGGACATCATTTTCGCGGCGGGTAGTACACACACCAATTAATCAGGGACCGAAATTAGTCGAATTGGTAACGATTTTAAAAAATGGAAACGATAATTTCAGATGAGGTTTGAAGTGTGTGACGAATTATTTATGCAATTCACGAAGGCCTTAGTAATTTTGTAAAATCCGTAAAATCTGTAAACTTGCACGTTTTATTAAATCTTACAAATTTTTTGAAGGAAAATTAACATATAAATTTTTATAAACATACGCAGATCAAGGTCGTCTCCCTATTTTAGGAAAGTTTGCAAAATTATTTTATAAAACTCACGAATTTCATAAAGTTATCAAGACCTAAGTATTTAAGCAAAGGAAATATTTAAAGAAACAGGATTTTCAATTTAAGTTGGTTACTCAAAAAATGAGAGGTCAGAACGGCGAAAGTTAAAATTCACGGAATTTGGATTATA